AAAAAAAAAAAAAAAAAAAAAAAGTAGTGAGAGAAACTGGATAGCATAACAATACAGGCCATTATTCTGTCCATGAGTGATGAGTTAAAAAAAAAATCTTAGTTGAATTCACACTAGGAAAAAAAAACAATGTTGACACTGTAATCTAGAGAAACAATTCATCCAGGGGAAAGGTCTGGAAGTCTCTTCTCACAGAAGGCTGGGTCAGTGAGCTGGATGCATTCATTCAAGTAGCAGCCTACATAAAGAGAGGTGTGTGTGTGTGTGTTTGTATGGAATCAGTATTCATGGTACTGACAAGTGTGTGAAAGTGCCACATTGTACACACTACTCACACTCTATGTGACTGCCTGTGCAGACCAACAGTATGGGCCACTTAAAGTGGACTTCAGATTTCTTTTCTGCTTATTCAATGTGACAGTGATGTTTCCTGGGTTAGAAGTTATTCATTAAAAGAAACTGTATAGTTTGAACAGGTGCTTGACTCCTGGCAGCTTTGCCATTTTGAAGTAGAGGGTAAATGCTAAAAGTCTTGTAGAATTATGTCCCCTGTTACTTCCACTTTTCAAACAACAACCAGAAGTATTAACTAAGCACATCAAAGTACAAAAAATATCTTAATATTGGAAAATAGTTCAGTTGCTAAATGTATTATTCAGCTCAAGTTGTGCCCTGAAGATGGGTATAATTTAATCATGCTTGCATTTTGACACACCTGAGGCAAGCTGCCAATGTAAACATGGTTCAAGTGCTTCTCTGCCAGTCCATCAGCAGATAAGTAGAATTCCTCAGAGGTTGCTCTGTAACATTATAGCCATCATAGATCACTGTAACAAATAGATCTTCTCAACCCCAGGGCCACATACTTGTTCATGATAGAGTGAAAATGCCAAAGGAAGTGTTTTTTTAAGTAGATAACTCTGATATGTGTAATTTACTGAAGTAAGACATTTGGTATGAATCCTGGGATTGGTGTAGAATTTTAGCAGGTTAAAAGTTGATTGTAGAGGCAGGGTTGCACACTCCATTTGCTTAAATTGCAGCCTTGTAGTGAAACGAGTCAATTAACTTGGTAGTTTATAATAGGTAGCAAGAGATTAAGCTGTGCCAATCAAGAAGGAAAAGGCTATTTATCTTGTTAAAGAGATACCATTATTATTAATTAAACCAGGCATTAGTTTCTCTATATATTTACGTTTTTGTGTGCAGAACCTGTTACATCTTATTTCTTGTACTGAGTTCATTAAAGAATTGTGTTATGATATGTAGCAGTGAATGAGGAGTCTGAGCTCACCTGCTTGCTGATAGGCATGGATTGATGTGTGTGGGTGTGTGTGTGTTATGGTACAGCCTACAGCAGTTGGAAGGACCTCATTAGTGGGCTTCCTTGATAGGAGCAGAGGGAATAAGGCCGTGTTCACATTGTGACCAACTTAGATTTGAAGTCGACTAATTGAAATCACCATAGCCCGCGTTTACACAAGGACTCTCATCACCCTTCAGATTTTGTATAAACTTCCATGTTAATTCATGCACTTTTGATCCCTTTTTGTGATGTCAGTAAGTCTGATGTAGCTTAGTAGTCATTATATAAATGCAGCCTGGAGGCAGCAGAGATATGACACACAGCATTGCATGACTGACCAATGTTTATTGGTATGCAGCATGCTAAAGTTAATACAGTTGTATGAATGTGGATAGTGTGTTCCAGTTATATATACATGTCAGACTATACATCTTTTTAAGAGCCATAGACTTCTGTATGGAGATGAATAATGTCTAAACCCCACCTGAAGATGTCATATGTTCAAGTTCTTGAGATTAGATTGTGGGAGAAAGTAAATGGGTTTTGGAGGTCTATCAGAAAAGACAGCAAGTCACTCTGAGTTTGTGTTTAATGGAATAAATTACCTTCATAGTCTGACACACATGCAGAGTGATGATGGTATTTTACTGAATGGATTAGTTGCATTTAATCAGATATTAGCTTCAACAGGTGCAGCATATTTGTGCCTTGAAGAAGTATGAAATGTCAGTGTAAGTCGGTGTTAGAGATTTTCATATTCGACCATAGCAGATAAGAAGGGCCTTCGGATTTTGTTCCTTTCCTGGTCAAATGGTGTTACCTTGAGTTAATAATTCATTAACTCTGGAACCATGGAGTTCATATTTTGATAACCTTGTTTACAGTGCCATAGATACTGGTAAACCTGCCAGCATTAGGAAAGCTTATTGGTTAATTAGACCAGCTTATCATTCTATTTATTTGGCCTTTGTCCAGTACACATGAAGACAATTACAGAAATAAATATATTCAGTATTGTAAACATGAAGACAATGACAGAAATAAACATATCTAGTAAACATGAAGACAATGACAGAAACAAACACATCCAATAGACATGGAAGTGATAGCGGAAATAAACATGACCAATAGAGTCTGACATAAAAATACTAGTTGAAATATATTCATGTTGAAATTTTGCTCAGTGGTGCACATCACCACACAGCTTAAAATTGACAAATGTTTTTTTAATTTGTGGGAGTCAACAGTATATCTTATCAAAAAGGTAATGTCTGTGAAAAATCTGTTAATGTCACTGTTGTGGTTGTTTCTTTTTTTTACAATGTTATTTAAATCTGTGTGAGTCAACAGTTCATCTTATCAAACAAGTAATGCTTGGGAAAATTTTTTACATGTTTTTTAATTACCTTTTTTAGGGTGCTACTATTCGCAATGAGGATGAGTCTATTGTCATTGGGCGGATTGTCAAAGGCGGTGCTGCTGAAAAGAGTGGTAAGCATTTATATATGTATACCCTCTAAGATTTTCAAGGGGTCAAAATTTGAAGTTTTCAGACTGCTTGTTAAGTAAAGAACTTTAAAGTGGAAGACCATTACAATTATATGAGTTATTAAATCTTGATGAAGATTGAATTTACGTGACTGAGGTATGCGATTAGCTTCAGGAGTGTTTCCTAATTGAGCAGTTAGCACACATTTTAATCCATTTAAGCAGTTGTGGTTGTTTTTAACACTTTTAAGCGGAATACTAGCCACACCAATTTGATTGATTGAAACTCATAATTACTCCAATTGGTATTTTGTGGGCAACAAATAAGAGCAATCTAGTACCAGTCCTGCAAAATACAAATTTCCCATTGTGTAAATGAGATGACTTATAGTTGTTCATGATATCTTGAACTATTCTGTGTGGTTTTCATTGCGTGATCCTTGTGTTCAGCTAATATTGCAATTCACATTAGAGTCATGATGATCCTGTTCTTTGAAAGCACAGTCAGAATTATACTAAGGTAGACCGGAAATTGTTGAACTGGGCCGGGTTTCACAAAAACATGAGACAGATAATGTGCTCAGCTTCGGTTCAAAATTAATCTGCAATAGCCCAAATAGAATAGTTGGGTAACTTTTGGTGAAAAAGAGAAGCCATTTTATACTTGTTATAAAACGGGTATTAGTTAATTTATGTGGGCTTTTCTTGCTTTTTCTTGGGTCAAATAGTCTAAAACTTGGCTCTAATAGTTTTAAATGAATTTTTGTGACACGGGCCTCTAATGTCTCTAGATAATCATGCTGGCTAGATCAATAGTGTTATAGTCATGTTTCCAGTCAACTTGTGTCCTCCTAATATAGTTTACCCCTATTTCAAAATGATTAGCTCACCAGAAGAAATTCCCATCAAATGGAAAGTGAAGTTACAACATTTACAGTGACAGTGGGTGGGACACATTGGGGATGGGATCAGATCCGAATGGTGATCTCTTCATCAACAGAATGCTTTCAGAGATTGGTGATGCCGAGTTAGGTCAAACCCAACTGGAAACAGGACTGCAAACTTTTTCTCAATGCCATGTGAGGCAGTTAGGTTGTCTGGTAACCTTAGAATGTTGTCTGTATGAATTATAACAGTTCTCACTGTGCCTTCACGTGAGGAAACAACTGGAGGTTTATGGATAAGACTTTCTTTCCATGGAGACTATTGAATTGAATGTGAAAAAGAAAGTGTTCCTTTGTTTACTGTGATTGTCTGAACTAAATGGATGATGTTATCATGCTTTTGCAGGCTGTTACTGGAGAAAGAGATATATTTTGAGGAGATAACAGTCAGCATGCAATGTCATTTAATATTCACTTGAGTTTTTTTTTTAGCAGACAAATATATGGTTTACTTAGGCAGTGATATATACTTATAAAATAGAGGGTAATTTGTGCAAACAAATTTGCAGCTATGTTTTGATCCCTTATTTGTAGGTTTACTCCACGAAGGAGATGAGATCTTGGAGGTGAACCATATAAACATGAGAGGGAAGAATGTCAATGATGTGAGTGACATGCTGGCTAATATGACAGGCACTCTCACTTTTCTCATCTACCCCAAACTGCAGTTCCAGTTACCTCCCAAGGAACATCACATGGTGAGACAACCAGTATTGTTTACTGTTAGAAATTTTCAATCTTCTCAATTTAAGATAGAGGTACATATTTTTTGCTGTCAGCTGGAAGGGGTAATATATGAAATAAAGAATAAATTGAAAAAATGGAATGAAAATAAAGAATGCAGAAATGAAGATTCAAGCATAAGATTTAGAATACAGAAATGAAAAAAAAAAAGATAAACAAAATACAGTAATTAAAGCAAGTACCCAGCTAATCAGAAGGTTAAACCTTCTCTTTCCAGGTGCATGTCAAAGCCCACTTTGATTATGACCCTGAAGAGGACCTGTACATTCCATGTCGCGAGCTCGGGATTTCCTTCGTAAAGGGGGACATCTTGCATGTGATCAACCAAGAGGACCCCAACTGGTGGCAGGCATACCGAGATGAGGAAGAAGATCAAACACTGGCTGGGTTAATTCCCAGTAAATCTTTCCAAGAACAGTAAGTGTTTGCATTCATATTTTTATTTAATTTTATTTTTCAATTTAACTATAGTTCTGAAATGGTCTTGCNGAAAAGGCTATTTATCTTGTTACAGAGACCATTATTATTAATTAAACCAGGCATTGGTTTTCTCTATATATTTACGTTTTTGTGTGCAGAACCTGTTACATCTTATTTCTTGTACTGAGTTCATTAAAGAGTTGTGGTATGATATGTAGCAGTGAATGAGGAGTCTGAGCTCACCTGCTTGCTGATAGGCATGGATTGATGTGGGTGGGTGTGTGTGTGTGTTATGGTACAGCCTACAGCAGTTGGAAGGACCTCATTAGCGGGCTTCCTTGATAGGAGCAGAGGGAATAAGGCCGTGTTCACATTGTGACCAACTTAGATTTGAAGTCAACTAATTGAAATCACCATAGCCCGCGTTTACACAAGGACTCTCATCACCCTTCAGATTTTGTATAAACTTCCATGTTAATTCATGCACTTTTGATCCCTTTTTGTGATGTCAGTAAGTCTGATGTAGCTTAGTAGTCATTATATAAATGCAGCCTGGAGGCAGCAGAGATATGACACACAGCATTGCATGACTGACCAATGTTTATTGGTATGCAGCATGCTAAAGTTAATACAGTTGTATGAATGTAGATAGTGTGTTCCAGTTATATATACATGTCAGACTATACATCTTTTTAAGAGCTATAGACTTCTGTATGGAGATGAATAATGTCTAAACCCCACCTGAAGATGTCATATGTTCAAGTTCTTGAGATTAGATTGTGGGAGAAAGTAAATGGGTTTTGGAGGTCTATCAGAAAAGACAGCAAGTCACTCTGAGTTTGTGTTTAATGGAATAAATTACCTTCATAGTCTGACACACATGCAGAGTGATGATGGTATTTTACTGAATGGATTAGTTGCATTTAATCAGATATTAGCTTCAACAGGTGCAGCATATTTGTGCCTTGAAGAAGTATGAAATGTCAGTGTAAGTCAGTGTTAGAGATTTTCATATTTGGCCATAGCAGATAAGAAGGGCCTTCGGATTTTGTTCCTTTCTTGGTCAGATGTTATTACCTTGAGTTAATAATTCATTAACTCTGGAACCATGGACTTCATATTTTGATAGCCTTGTTTACAGTGCCATAGATACTGGTAAACCTGCCAGCATTAGGAAAGCTTATTGGTTAATTAGGCTAGCTTATCATTCCATTTATTTGGCCTTTGTCCAGTACACATGAAGACAATGACAGAAATAAACATATCTAGTAAACATAAAGACAATGACAGAAACAAACACATCCAATAGACATGGAAGTGATAGCAGAAATAAACATGACCAATAGAGTCTGACATGAAAATACTAGTTGAAATATATTCATGTTGAAATTTTGCTCAGTGGTGCACATCACCACACAGCTTAAAATTGACAAATGTTTTTTTAATTTGTGGGAGTCAACAGTATATCTTATCAAAAAGGTAATGTCTGTGAAAAATCTGTTAATGTCACTGTTGTGGTTGTTTTTTCTTTTTACAATGTGACTTAAATCTGTGTGAGTCAACAGTTCATCTTATCAAACAAGTAATGCTTGGGGAAAATTTTTTACATGTTTTTAATTGCCTTTTTTAGGGTGCTACTATTCGCAATGAGGATGAGTCTATTGTCATTGGGCGGATTGTCAAAGGCGGTGCTGCTGAAAAGAGTGGTAAGCATTTATATGTACCCTCTAAGATTTTCAAGGGGTTAAAATTTGAAGTATTCAGACTGCTTGTTAAGTAAAGAACTTTAAAGTGGAAGACCATTACAATTATATGAGTTATTAAATCTTGATGAAGATTGAATTTACGTGACTGAGGTATGCGATTAGCTTCAGGAGTGTTTCCTAATTGAGCAGTTAGCACACATTTTAATCCATTTAAGCAGTTGTGGTTGTTTTTAACACTTTTAAGTGGAATACTAGCCACACCAATTTGATTGATTGAAACACATAATTACTCCAATTGGTATTTTGTGGGCAACAAATAAGATGTGACTTAAATCTGTCCTGCAAAATACAAATTTCCCATTGTGGAAATGAGGTGACTGATAGTTGTTCATGATATCTTGAACTGTTCTGTGTGGTTTTCATTGCGTGATCCTTGTGTTCAGCTAATATTGCAATTCACATTAAGAGTCATGATGATCCTGTTCTTTGAAAGCACAGTCAGAATTATACTTGGGTAGACCGGAAATTGTTGAACTGGGCCCAGTTTCACAAAAACATGAGACAAAAATTGTGCTCAGCTTCAGTTAAAAATAAATCTGCAATAGCCCGATGGAATAGTTAAATAACTTTTGCTGTAAAAGAGAAGCAATTTATTTCTTATATATGTTCATATATGTGGACTATTGCTGCTTTTTCTTGGGTCAAATAGTCTGAAACTTAGCTCTAATAGTTTTAAACGAATTTTTGTGACACGGGCCTTAATTGTCTCTAGATAACCATCCAGGCCAGATCAGGCAGTGTTATAGTCATGTTTCCAGTCAACTTGTGTCCTCCTAATCTAGTTTACCCCATCTCAACAGGTTATCTGATAATGATAAGCTCACCAGAAGAAATTTCCATCAAATGAAAAGTGAAATTACAACATTTACAATGACAGTGGGTGGGACACATTGGGGATGGGATCAGATCCTAATGGCGATCTCTTCATAAGCAAAGTGCTTTCAGAGATGGGTCATGCCGAGTTAGGTCAAACCCAACTGGAAATGGGACAACAAACTTTTGCTCAATGCCATGTGAGGCAGTTAGGTTTTCTGGTAACCTCAGAATGTTGTCTGTATGAGTTATAACAGTTCTCACTGTGTCTTCACATGAGGAAACAACTGGAAGTGATGTTTTAATGAGGTTTATGGATAAGACTTTCTTTCCATGGAGACTATTGAATTAAATGTGAAAAAGAAAGTGTTCCTTTGTTTACTGTGATTGTCTGAACTAAATGGATGATGTTATCATGCTTTTGCAGGCTGTTACTGGAGAAAGAGATATATTTTGAGGAGATAACAGTCAGCATGCAATGTCATTTAATATTCACTTGAGTTTTTTTTTTTTTTAGAATTGCAGACAAATATATGGTTTACTTAGGCAGTGGTATATACTTATAAAATAGAGGGTAATTTGTGCAAACAAATTAGCAGCTATGTTTTGATCCCTTATTTGTAGGATTACTCCACGAAGGAGATGAGATCTTGGAGGTGAACCATATAAACATGAGAGGGAAGAATGTCAATGATGTGAGTGACATGCTGGCTAATATGACAGGCACTCTCACTTTTCTCATCTACCCCAAACTGCAGTTCCAGTTACCTCCCAAGGAACATCACATGGTGAGACATGAGTATTGTTTACTGTTAGAAATTTTCAAATCTTCTCAGTTTAAGATAGGGGTACATATTTTTTGCTGTCAGCTGGAAGGGGTAATATATGAAATAAAGAATAAATTTAAAAAATGGAATGAAAATAAAGAATGTAGAAATGAAGATTCAAGCATAAGATTAAGAATACAGAAATGAAAAAAAAAAATAAATAAAATACAGTAATTAAAGCAAGTACCCAGCTAATCAGAAGGTTAAACCTTCCCTTTCCAGGTGCATGTCAAAGCCCACTTTGATTATGACCCTGAAGAGGACCTGTACATTCCATGTCGCGAGCTCGGGATTTCCTTCGTAAAGGGGGACATCTTGCATGTGATCAACCAAGAGGACCCCAACTGGTGGCAGGCATACCGAGATGAGGAAGAAGATCAAACACTGGCTGGGTTAATTCCCAGTAAATCTTTCCAAGAACAGTAAGTGTTTGCATTCATATTTTTATTTTTTAATTTTATTTTTCAATTTAACTATAGTTCTGAAATGGTCTTGTTCTTTCAGGATCGTGTTTGAACCCATACTGCTATGCTGAAATGCTCTTGAATAGATGTAATTGTGAACCTCATTTAAATTCTCAAATAAATTGGTTAAGTTCTGATAAGATTTAAAAATGGTACAATATTGTTTCATCCCTGAATAGCTGTTTTCACTTCATAGCAGCAATAACAGATGTATTGTATTTATAGATATAATACAATTGCAGACTGGCTGAGAACTGCAAAACAACATATTAATTGAAAACAAAAGTCTATAATCATTTAATTATATTACTTTTAAATACCTAAATGCCTTCCAAGATAAAGAAAGTTGCAGTCATCCAAAGCTCTCATCTGAGATCAAATGTTTNAGCAATAACAGATGTATTGTATTTATAGATATAATACAATTGCAGACTGGCTGAGAACTGCAAAACAACATATTAATTGAAAACAAAAGTCTATAATCATTTAATTATATTACTTTTAAATACCTAAATGCCTTCCAAGATAAAGAAAGTTGCAGTCATCCAAAGCTCTCGTCTGAGATCAAATTTTTCTTTTTCTTTGTTTTTTAAGAAATCTTCAATGATGCCATTGATCAATATTATGTTTGGTTATGACATTATCTGTCAATATGTTTTAGCAGACCTCAGTTTTGGAGATGAGATCATGATAATCTATGCTTATTGTATAATGATAATAATAAACTACACTCTTTATGTTCTTCTGTAGAAGAGAAGTATTAAAGCAAACAATAGTTGGAGACAAAAATGAAGACAAAAAGAAAAGCAGTAATTGTTCCTGTGTGAAAAAGAAGAAAAGCAAGAAAACACTATTTAACCCAAGCAATATAGGTGATTTTTAGTTGTTTTACTGATGCTATTTACATTCATTGAATATCCTCAATTTACTTTTGAATGGTATACATGTGTTACAAATTTGATATCTTGCATACATCATAACTTGTTATATATATATATATATATATATATATATATATATATATATATATATATATATATATATATATATATATATATATATATATATATCTCCTAAGGATCATTAAAAATCCACATGCTAGAAAATGTTAATAAGCTTGAAGTGGTTTTCACATTTATATTAATTTCACGTTTGATTGATATACCTGAATTAGAATTAGAATTATTCACACTGATAATTCATAGAACATTATGATTTGTACAGAAAAAATATAAGAAACATAATATTCAACAAAACAGATACAGGTGTATGTATATTTGATCAATCTTAACTGGAACCTGAAAAGTCATTTTCACTGTTAGAGGTGCAAGTCATCTGGAATTCTGATTGGTATCTGTGTTTTTTATCCAGATTCTGAGGAAATTCCTACTTATGAAGAAGTGGCATTGTACTACCCACAGCCTAACAGGAAGAGGCCAGTCGTGTTGATAGGACCACCCAACACAGGACGCCATGAACTCAGACGGAGACTTATGGAGAGTGACGTAGATCGATTTGCTGCTGCAGTACCTCGTGAGTGCTACATTTCTCAACTTTTTGTGTGTAGATTTTACGACAGGATGACATTTAATTTATTTATTTATTTATTTATTTATTTCACTTTAAAAAGTTTCTAGACATGCCAGTAGTTAAATGAGTCTGATGCACAGGGTTTTGGAATTAAAGTTGAAATAGACTTTTTACTTAAATGTTTGAGTTAATGCTCAGAAATAGCTAATTCTATCAATTTCAATCAAGAAAATATCTAAGAAAGCTATTGTAATATTGAGGTTTGTTGAATGTGTAAAGCTGGTTTCTTGAAGTTAATTAGATGCGACTGTGCTTAGCAGGTGATCTGTGGTCTAAAAAACATTGTCCTCTTTATAATAGGGAGAGTTGTATTGCTTTATGGTAGTGCCACTTACAATCAAGAATGACAAGAAATTGACTTGAAATATGGTTGTTTTTGTATTTAAAATTTGAGGCCATGGACTGAGTTGACTTAACTGTACATGCTGTTAATCTGATAGACTAGCAAATAAGAAATTGGTGTCAATTGATAATTTTAGCTTTGTGGTATAGAATTTCCTATTTTGTCCTGAAAATTATACAATTGAAATTTTTAAACATGCAGAAACATACAGAATTTTATTGGAATAAAAATATTGTTAAGACTAGTAAAATAAACTTTGCCTGAATGTTACAATTCTTGCTGGTCAGGAAACATTTCTGATTATATGGTCACTGAACAATTTAGATAGTTTTTAAAATAACATTTTAGTTGTAATTAAAGTTCTGCATTGTGTTCTCATGGTAAAAATCACACATTTTGCTTGATCATGGAAGGTGCCATTTTGCTGTTTAATAATAATGATAATAATAATGATAATAATAATAATTTGACTATTTCATTTAAACACATATTTTTTTTTCTTTAGATACCAGTCGTCCAAGGCGTGACAGTGAGGTGAATGGGAAAGACTACCACTTTGTGCCGAGGCATGTGTTTGAGGCAGACATCATGGGGAGTAGGTTCGTGGAGCATGGGGAGTATGAGAACAACCTGTACGGCACCAGTATAGAAGCAATAAGGAATGTTGTCAGTGAAGGAAAGATCTGTGTTCTTAATCTCCAACCACAGGTAGAGTATCAAATGCGCACCATTCTAGGTAGCAGTGGTCACCCTGACACAACTTGTTCTAGTCTGTGTATTAGCTGTAAATAAAGCTTCTTTGATATATAGTATGTCCAGTGTAGTGTTAGAACATGGGACTAATGAGATATGAGTCTTTGAAACTATAGATGTTAGTCTATCATCCATTTGATTTTTATAGACAGAAGACTAAGATTTTCATATGAGAAAGTCTTCGATGTACAGCATATTTATATTTTGGTTATTTTCAGTCTTTACGGATTTTGAAGAATTCTGATCTGAAGCCATATGTTGTATTCATATCGCCCCCATATCTGGAACTTTTACGTCAGAATCTTGCCAAAAATGGCCATCATGCAACAGTAAGTGTTCTGTTTGAATGTAAAGTTTGAAATTGTATTTATATAAATAGGTGAAAATTTTGTAATTATGAAGCTTTCAAGCTGTCCTGTTCTAAAACTGACTCCATAACATATGTTGAACGGCTTTTGAAAAGTTATATTCTTTAGTAAACAAATAGATTCATTTGTCAATGATAATAATGAAACCTATCACAGTCTTCATCTCCCCGATGAAGTCTGAATGTCAGAAGACAAATTATGGGCTGGTAAATCTCAGTAAATTTTTTTAAAGCTATTGACAAATGAAGCTTTATTTTTTCATTCTCTATGCTTTATTTCAAACAAACTATCTTAGAGTTCATGATCCACCAAGATTTGCCAGAGCAAAATTACTGTTTTAATTTGAAGGCTTAAAAGTCATCACGGTGGCATATGTCCTTTTTTCAAAGTGACTTGTGTTCATTACATGCTTCTTGCGCCTAAATTATGCTAAATTATAATTTTCTCCCATTTCCAGGAAGATGAATTGAAGGAGATTATAGAAAGAGGACGTGAGATGGAGAATGATTATGGTCATTACTTTGACTATGTTATTGTTAATATGGACATGGACAAAGCATATGATGAAATGTTACAAGAGATCAATCGATTGGAAGAAGAACCACAGTGGGTGCCAGCCATGTGGCTCAATTCATAATACAGGCAGGGCAGCTTAGATTTCTAGACTGGCATTCAATGGAGAAACAGGAATACAATTTTTAGGGTTCTTACGGAGAAGACTCCATATTTTAGCCAATAGCTTAATATTTTAAGCTGTCATACCTTGCACCTCCGATTTGAATTTATATGGAACTTTTAAAGCCTTAGTAAAAAAGAGAGTATATTTTATGTAAAGTAACAAATTAGAGTGCAACAAGAAAACTCTTGGTTGCTGTACCATTTATGTTGTATATGACTTTGAAAGCAGAAAGGTGATCAGTCCTTCTGAAGATGGTTCCATCTTGGTTTGCCAAAGGAATTGGTTTATATTTTTATCACAGTTGTGCACTGTATTCCAGCACCTGTTATTTAGAGTGAACCTGTGTGAAGTAAGACTGTAATGATCCAGTTGACAAAGAGTGACACACACACACTGGGAACCAAGCATGTTCAGGCTTGAGATGGTGAAGCAGCATCAGGACCACGTATCTTTCTTGTTCCCTTTTAATGCAAATTTTAATAAGCCCATTTATTTATATGATAACAGATTCAGTAGTAGTGCAAGATTTGAAATGAAACACCAACTTTTCACTAACTCAGGCTCCAGGAACATATCTAGTCAGCCGCATCATCTTTGTGTTGCACACCATGTAAAAGTATTTCCAATTACGGGATGAAATATCTGAAGATTTTATGTGCAATTTCTCCGACAAATGAAAGATATTTGAAAGGTGTTGTTACATATTTGGAATTTGCCTGCATTCTGTCAGCAAATCATGCACTAACTGAACATGCACAAACTAAATCACCACAAGTGCTTTGTACTCAATTATAATATAGCTTCAGAATTTTTAATGTCACATTCATATTTTTATAAGCAGTCCAGTAAAGAAAATGTATGTTATGTACAGTATTGAGCAATGTAGATTCTGATCATGATTGTGGATTTTACCACCCTCGGGTGGTAAATCGAAGATATATTTTTTTCATGCACTTATTTACTTCTGGAAAGCATGGGATTGGGATTTATTTTCCCTGTAATTGACAATAGATCATAAACTATCATATACAAAATGTTTTTTTTCCATAGAAAATTTGTTGTTGAATCTAAACTTCATCCCCTCTTTATATAGTATTTTGAATAGTTTTATCTTTTACCATTGTCATTGAAGTGAACAAAATTATGAACTGCTGATCCAGTCTTGTACAGATTTGTACATATCATTTGTAACTTAAATAATAACAAATATACATATATTAAAGAAAACGAGTTGATGTTTTAAATTAAAATGTGGCATGCATAATTTGTATTAATAAAAAATTAATTCATCCCTCTTTCCATAGTGATTGCGATAGAGAAGCTTGCAGGTCAGATTGTTTCCAGTTCAATGATCTTTAGTTTTATGTTCTTCCATAATTTTGCAATGGTACACCCTTGGTAAATTGCTAAAACTGATTACTGACTTTTGACTGTCATTAAAATGGAGTCAAACACGTTCACATCAGTGAAATTTCTATGTACAAATACCACAAAATGTAAAGTCTATTAATCCTATAATGGTCACAGGATAGTGTCCAGTGCACACCTGCATAAAGATAAAGTCCTCTTAATATCATGAATTTCTTCAGTTCGATCAGTCAACAGTGTAAATTAGTTCACTAGACTGCCAAAAAATTACATCCAAAGGAGTCCTCCACTACAACATCAAGAAATACATCAGAAATCTTAGCTTAGAGTGTATATGTTGTACTGCTATTAATACATGTACCTTCTATTTTCCAAGACATGATGAACAAATTGAGTCTACCTGAAATATGCTTTCCCCAAACCAATTTCTTACTTTTTCTACCCTAATGGTGGTAAATCCTCAGCCAGGAATCCTGGCACCATAATACACATCTAGATAGATTACATTTTATTTATTCTGAATTGTGAGCAAAAGCACAAGAAATAAAGAAAACATTCTTTTTCACAATATCATCAGGTCAAGAGTCAATGTAAGCTGATTACATCTGGCAGTCACCTGGAGAATGAAATCATTTCAGGTTGCATAACAGTTAAAACAGAGCTGGATATTTCGGAACAAAACCTTAAAGTTCTCCCATATGTACATGTAACTAATATCTAGAACGTTTTGACTTGTAAAAGTGATAACGAAAAAGTCAGGATTTAGGGATTACCACAAAATCATTCATTATAATCAGTTATTTTTTCTGACACAAAATACTTTGTGCAAAAAAATTTAAACTTAAAAAAAATACAGACAATGACTGTACATAAATAACATGAGAATTAAGAAAGCTGATCAGGTCTTGGACTGGGAGGAATCACCATCCTTCACCATTTTTTCAGCATGTTCCAGAAGCTCATCCTGTGACAGTGTAAAACCACTCTCTTTCCACAGTTTTCTCAGAGCTGCAAGCGTAACTGCAATTTCCCGTTTCTTTAATCCCATCTTAACTAAAAACTGTCCATGCACAGGAAATCTGGGTATATTCCAATCATCAGGCTGCGATAGAAGTTCTTTATTACCAAAGTACTTAAGAAGTTCACATATCTTTTCTTTTGTTTTCACCACACTTCCTTCTGTGTCACAGAGCAATTCCTTGCAGTAATAGATTTTATCTTGGGTGTTCTGATCTCCACGATGCTTCTGAACAAACAGTGCTATGCCCAGATCATCATTTGAAAACTTGACTCTTTCTCTAAATTGATAAATCTGAAAACATAATTAAAGTAGGAGGTCAGGTCACTTTACAGCTAGTTTATTATTTTTCTTTCTTTTGCACTGGCAAGGCCATCAATCTCTCTATTAGGGCACATTCAGAACAGATGATCTGAGTACTAACTGATCTGCCAACTACTTCTCCCCCTCTGCCCCCACTTCAAAAGTGATGCCACTAATTCCATGATGGTCTCTCCGCCTCCACACCCACCGTTGCTGCAGGGGCCTTACAATTATATCCCAGAGCCAAGGTTTTAATCCATTTAATGGCGCATGTGGAGGTGGGGAGACAATCGGAAATCAGCAGCATTGCTATTAAAGTGGGGTCGGCCATATTTAGTCAGCAGATCTGTCAGTCAGCGGATCATCTTTTTCTGAATGCGCTCTTCCATTGTTTACAGTTTGGCCATTACCCAGGAGCAGAGAGGTTCTTGCACTACTTGGTCAGGTCACAATGTCTGTGACATGTACAATTAAAAAAAGGTCACGTCGTAATGATCACTGTTTGTGTATCAATGTTAATTCATATCACCCCCAAAATATACGATTATTTCTTTCTTTGTCTATTTGTGACCTATCCTGAAAATTTCATCAAAATATGTCCATGACTTTTTTGCATGATGCTGCATACAGACAAACAAACAAATGGGAGGGAAAACATCCTTGTTGTAGGTAAAAATTGCCATAAATTCACAAATATCTTAGAAAAATGTTCTACAAATTACACTTCTCTATTTTGCATTTTGACTAAAACAATAAGAAAGACATGCCAAGGTAAAACAATAACAATGATGATTGTTTAAAGCATGGAATAATCAAAAATGTTGCATTACTAACTGTAATCTATCAATATATAAAAACCATGTATCATTTTTCTTACATCTTCCTCCTTATGAAGAAGAGCTGTTACCATGGTCATTGGCTTTGGGTCCAATTCTTTTGCGCTAGCATACACATTTTTGAATTCCTCTAGGTTACAGTCTAAAGGGAGCCCTGCAATCAGAAAATGCATTTGGAAGTAAATATGTCAATTTTCTATGCCCTCCACATGTAAGAAAGCAGGCTGAAAAATTATCATTTTGCTATGCTTCATTAAAAGAAAGAAATAAAAAAAAAACTTAAATTTGAGATAATGTGATACTGAAAATGTTGCAACATTCTCATTATATCACCCGCTTTAATCATTTTATAACTAAGAACTAAATAATGATGAGCTAGTAACAAATCAAATTACAAATTGGCATGAAATGTATAAATATAAACAGATTTATAATATTTGTAAACTATACATTCCTTACCCATATATTGCAGAAGGCCAAGATCAGCCATGACTCCCATTATACTTGGTGCATGATTACCAACAACTATTTTCTGTAGTTCTGTCCAAATGCGCTCTCCAGATATTCCTACAAAAGAAAGTACACAGCCTAGACATTGAAGATGGCACATACACAGACACAAGAAAAAAAATTCAGAGAAGCAGATGCAATGACATCTGGGCAGAAAGGACAGTTAAAGCGTTGAAAAAGAATTTTCAAAAATTTCAGCGCTTATCATCTCAACAATAGGTGCTGACATATGGAAAGCAGAGTCTGCATATAGCAGGTACAGAGCAGGTGTAACAAAGTCAGTCTTAATCTACTAACATTGTTGTGCATTTGAGATATAACAAAGAAGGAGGTGTTGTCAGATAACACAGGCTTTGTCAAACAGGTCCCTGCTGTGGTTTACAAAAATAACTGCCTCTGTAAAGTTCAATACCTGTCTAGTAAAAATGAAAAATAATCTGAAGAAAAAACATCTTTCAACTCAACATTCCTCTTGATAACAAGTTGCTGCTCAAGATATGAGGATAAATGTACCTTTTAGACCATGCCCATTGTTTTTTATTGCCTCTAATGTCTCAACCAAATGACAGTTTGGATCTGTAGCTATCCGTCCAAAGAACCTTCAATAAAAATAAATGTTTTAACATGGAGAGGGTATACAATACAAAATATACTGTTATTATAATACCACCAAAATCTACTTATGGCACTATGACCAATAAGGGGTCAATCATTCATTTTATCATCATTTTCACAAGTCTACAGAGAGTAGACTTCTAACAGATCCCTTCCTCCCCTTCAGAAAGTAAAAGTGAAAGTTAACAAGGCAGCAAAGNTGATGAATTTCTTCAGTTCGATCAGTCAACAGTGTAAATTAGTTCACTAGACTGCCAAAAAATTACATCCAAAGGAGTCCTCCACTACAACATCAAGAAATACATCAGAAATCTTAGCTTAGAGTGTATATGTTGTACTGCTATTAATACATGTACCTTCTATTTTCCAAGACATGATGAACAAATTGAGTCTACCTGAAATATGCTTTCCCCAAACCAATTTCTTACTTTTTCTAGCTTAATGGTGGTAAATCCTCAGCCAGGAATCCTGGCACCATAATACACATCTAGATAGATTACATTTTATTTATTCTGAATTGTGAGCAAAAGCACAAGAAATAAAGAAAACATTCTTTTTCACAATATCATCAAGTCAAGAAGTCAAATTTGAATTCGAATGATAAACATATCAATAAATATCTCTAGTGCATTTGTTTGCCCCAAAAGCTGTGACTGATCTGAACTCCAAACAAGTAAATTTTTCTCTGAAGCGCAATGTGGACTTAAGCGTAGTCGCCCAACTGTCTACAAAATCAATTTTAAATGGAAACATCCAACTTAAATCAGAGCTTTGAATAGTTTATTATGTAAGCTGATTTCATCTGGCAGTCACCTGGAGAATGAAATCATTTCAGGTTGCATAACAGTTAAAACAGAGCTGGATATTTCAGAACAAAACCTTAAAGTTCTCCCATATGTACATGTAACTAATATCTAGAACGTTTTGACTTGTAAAAGTGATAACGAAAAAGTCAGGATTTAGGAATTACCACAAAATCATTCATTATAATCAGTTATTTTTTCTGACACAAAATACTTTGTGCAAAAAAATTTAAACTTAAAAAAAATACAGACAATGACTGTACATAAATAACATGAGAATTAAGAAAGCTGATCAGGTCTTGGACTGGGAGGAATCACCATCCTTCACCATTTTTTCAGCATGTTCCAGAAGCTCATCCTGTGACAGTGTAAAACCACTCTCTTTCCACAGTTTTCTCAGAGCTGCAAGCGTAACTGCAATTTCCCGTTTCTTTAATCCCATCTTAACTAAAAACTGTCCATGCACAGGAAATCTGGGTATATTCCAATCATCAGGCTGCGATAGAAGTTCTTTATTACCAAAGTACTTAAGAAGTTCACATATCTTTTCTTTTGTTTTCACCACACTTCCTTCTGTGTCACAGAGCAATTCCTTGCAGTAATAGATTTTATCTTGGGTGTTCTGATCTCTACGATGCTTCTGAACGAACAGTGCTATGCCCAGATCATCATTTGAAAACTTGACTCTTTCTCTAAATTGGTAAATCTGAAAACATAATTAAACAAGTGTAGGAGGTCAGGTCACTTTACAGCTAGTTTATTAGTTTTCTTTCTTTTGCACTGGCAAGGCCATCAATCTATCTATTAGGGCACATTCAGAACAGATGATCTGAGTACTAACTGATCTGCCAACTACTTCTCCCTCTCTGCCCCCACTTCAAAAGTGATGCCACTAATTCCATGGTCTCTCCGCCTCCACACCCACCGTTGCTGCAGGGGCCTTACAATTAAATCCCAGAGCCAAGGTTTTAATCCATTTAATGGTGGATGTGGAGGTGGGGAGACAATCAGAAATCAGCAGCATTGCTTTTAAAGTGGGGTCGGCCATATTTAGTCGGCAGATATGTCAGTCAGCGGATCATCTTTTTCTGAATGGGCTCTTCCATTGTTTACAGTTTGGCCATTACCCAGGAGCAGAGAGGTTCTTGCACTACTTGGTCAGGTCACAGCTTACAAATTATGTCTGTTACATGTACAATTAAAAAAGGTCAAAATGTAATGATCACCGTTTGTGTATCAATGTTAATTCATATCACCCCCAAAATATACGATTATTTCTTTCTTTGTCTATTTGTGACCTATCCTGAAAATTTCATCAAAATCTGTCCATGACTTTTTTGCATGATGCTGCATACAAACAAACAAACAAATGGGAGGGAAAACATCCTTGTTGTAGGTAAAAATTGCCATAAATTCACAAATATCTTAGAAAAATGTTTTACAAATTACACCTCTCTATTTAGCATTTTGACTAAAACAATAAGAAAGACATGCCAAGGTAAAACAATAACAATGATGATTGCTTAAAGCATGGAATAAAAAATGTTGCATTACTAACTGTAATTTATCAATATATAAAAACCATGTATTATTTTTCTTACATCTTCCTCCTTATGAAGAAGAGCTGTTACCATGGTCATTGGCTTTGGGTCTAATTCTTTTGCGCTAGCATACACATTTTTGAATTCCTCTAGGTTACAGTCTGAAGGGAGCCCTGCAATCAGAAAATGCATTTGCAAGTAAATATGTCAATTTTCTATGCCTTCCACATGTAATGCCCCTATTTCACACAGACCACGAATCCCACGAATCTCCAGGAATTGAAAATTTCAGGATTCGTGGTTGAATCGTAATCAGTTCATGAAGTTCTTAACAGATTCGTATATAATCGTAGTCAGTTCTTGCAATTCTTGATCAATCAGGAATTCGTGGCAAAAAATTTAAGCTTTTCAAAGTTTTGGCCACGAACTCCCGATTCCAAAAAGTCGTAGTGAATTTCTGGACAATATTCGTGCGATTCCAGCCGAATCCCACGAATATTCGTAACACTATCGCACCTGTATCGTAACTGAATCGTAGAGCGTGTCGAATTAGACCAGAAAATTGGCAAAATCTCACGATTCCAGCCGAATCCCACGAATATTCGTAACACTATCGTACCTGTATCGTAACTGAACCGTGAGCGTGTCGAATTAGACCAGAAAATTGGCAAAATCTCACGAATCCTCATGAATCCTGAAATTTGTCAATTCCTGGCGATTTGTGGGATTCGTGGTCTGTGTGAAATAGGGGCCTAAAAAGCAGGCTGAAAACTTATCATTTTGCTATGCTTCATTAAAAGAAAGAAATAAAAAAAAACTTAAATCGGAGATAATGTGATACTGAAAATGTTGCAGCATTCTCATTATATCACCCGCTTTAATCATTTTATAACTAAGAACTAAATAATGATGAGCTAGTAACAAATCAAATTACAAATTGGCATGAAATGTATAAATATAAACAGATTTATAATATTTGTAAACTATACATTCCTTACCCATATATTGCAGAAGGCCAAGATCAGCCATGACTCCCATTATACTTGGTGCATGATTACCAACAACTATTTTCTGTAGTTCTGTCCAAATGCGCTCTCCAGATATTCCTACAAAAGAAAGTACCTAGACAGCGAAGATGGCACATACACAGACACAAGAAAAAAAAATTCAGAGAAGCAGATGCAATGACATCTGGGCAGAAAGGACAGTTAAAGAATTTTCAAAAATTTCAGCGTTTATCATCTCAACAATAGATGTTGACATATGGAAAGCAGAGTCTGCATATAGTAGGTACAGAGCAGGTGTAACAAAGTCAGTCTAATCTACTAACATTGTTGTGCATTTGAGATATAACAAAGAAGGAGGTGTTGTCAGATAACACAGGCTTTGTCAAACAGGCCCCTGCTGTGGTTTACAAAAATAACTGCCTCTGTAAAGTTCAATACCTGTATAGTAAAAATGAAAAATAACCTGAAGTAAAAACATCTTTCAACTCAACATTCCTCTTGATAACAAGTTGCTGCTCAAGATATGAGGATAAATGTACCTTTTAGACCATGCCCATTGTTTTTTATTGCCTCTAATGTCTCAACCAAATGACAGTTTGGATCTGTAGCTATCCGTCCAAAGAACCTTCAATAAAAATAAGTGTCTTAACATGGAGAGGGTATACAATACAAAATATACTGTTATTATAATACCACCACCATCTATTTATGGCACTATGACCAATAAGGAGTCAATCATCCATTTTATCATCATTTTCACAAGTCAATCAGAGAGTAGATTTTTAACAGATCCCTTCCTCCCCTTCAGAAAGTAAAGGTGAAAGTTAAAAATGATGATCTTTCACAGCAATTTGGCACCATTTCTATTATTTTTCAGATATGCACAGAGGGTACTAACCCCTGCACCTCCAGTGTAGGGTTTGTAGACTTGTGAAAATGATGATACAAATGGATGATCCCTAAATCTGTATTTAACAAAATCAAAATTTAATTACCAAAATAAACATCAATTTAAACATTTTCAACTGCTAGCATCTTAACGCCTGACAGTGTACAGTAAGTAGATTATTTGTTAAATTGTCAATATTCAATATTATCAACACACACACACACACACACACACACACACACACACACCCACACACACACACACAGATTTTATCGAGAATGAAAAAGCATCTCAAGTTGTATTTAAGTTTAACCACACTGGACCAGATATTAGCCTCACTTGTATAAGCTGAGGTCATAATTTAACAATGCTATCACCATCAAACTTCTTTAAAATTTTGTCTCTGGCAATTGGTTTAATTTGGACCTCATATCTGGTTCAAAAAGTGGTTCTCATAGAGAATCTAGTTCAGCTAACAAATTATGTAACTAGTATTATAAAGCACAGACTAAATCTATTCACGGTGAAATTCATGAAAAAAAAAAGACTGAATCGGCACAATCAGACCCCATGGCCCTACCTGAAGTATCTAAGTATCCGTAAATAATCTTCCTGAATTCTCTCCTCTGCATTTCCTACAAACTTCACTCTCCTTTGCTCTAAATCTTCCTTGCCATTGAAGTAATCATACAGTGTTCCATCAAAACCTAAAATCAAAATAATGAACTCAAGAGAACATGTAAAACATATAGGACAGTCTGTGTTTAACTTGACTTTCATAAAATTTAAGTTTAACTAAACCTGGACATTGATGTTGAATCTCGATCAATGGGATTTAGTTAGTAGTTGCTACATTTTAACAAAAATATATGTATTCCCAAGCATTGTATTGAATGCAACATGTGATCCCTTACATATGTTTTTTGTAATAAAAAAGTCATTAGTGCTAAAACTTTTTATAAAAAATTACCTAAGAACATTGAATTAACAGTAAGATCTCTCCTGTTGGCATCAAGTTGCCAGTCTCTGGTGAATTCCACTTTAGCACGACGTCCATCTGTAACCACATCTATACGCAGGGTGGTCACTTCATAATTTTCCTGGATTGAAAAAATAATAATACTGTAATGTGAAATCATATCTCTAAAATTATTTCTAATTCTATCACATATTTATAAATTTCTATCACATATTTATAAAAAACTACCTCAAGTTAAGCAAACAAACAAGCAGACCAATATATTTATGAAAACATTTTTTTGCAAGTAACAAAAGTCAAAATTTTATGTCATTAAAATATACTGCACATTAGCAACAGCAACCAAAAAAGTACAGAATAAATCTAAATACTCACAAAGCTTCCATACACTAACATAGTTCCCAAAACATTTTTTGACATGTAAACAAAATAATTTCTCCTACTCCTAACTAACAATTCTTGTAATTTCATTCTCTGTTTAAAAGCTCTTTTTGTACTTCAGATGTAACCCATGTATCAGCAACTACTTGAAGCTGATAGTTTTATTTCAAATCTTTATTTTCACACATGAAATTCATCAGTCTCTCTCTCCAGTATGAGAACAACTCATAACTATAAACATAGAAGACCCCATACACAGGCTTATGAATCTTGATTTTGCAAAGTTAAAAAATATTGGCAGCAAAAAATATTAAAAATTTTAACTTGTTTTAGATCTGGTATACCTTGCTGATGAAAGGCCTTGAAATTTCCAAGAAAAGTCTAATGCCCAATGCATGCCTAATAGCTTTCTTAGGTACTGTAAGTAAGGAACACTCTGATTGGTTGTTACAAACCCAGGATAGATGTTACTTCAACTGGCCATGGGCACCACTAACCAGCCAAGGGGGGCCTGTACAGCTTAGAAGGGTAAAGGCAGAGTTTTGGTTTGCACAGATCCATGTTTCATCATCATTTTACAAAAAAAAAAAAAAAAAGTAAAATAGCTGACCTTGTCATTGATTCTTGCAGTTATGGTCCCGTGTTCTTCTCCTTTTGCATTAATCATTCTAATTTTTTCCTTTTCAAACATTGTTTTCATTTCCTCTGGTGTAGCGGTGGTAGCAAAGTCCACATCATGTGGAGTCTTTCCCATCAGCAGGTCTCTCACTGCTCCTCCAGCTATACGCAGCTCATACTGGTAACTTTTAAATAAAGATTCTAGTTTGAGTAGCTCAGGTGTGAAAAGAGCCCTAGAGAAAAAGTAAACAGGTAAGGTTAACTGTATGTAGGTTATTTGACAAAATCTGTAAGTACTTGAACTTTCTTTGTAAGAGTATTCAATACTGTACTTATCGAAGGTATACTTTACACATATGATAGTGTTTAAAAGTCATATTTTTATATCTAAATATTCTGCAAAGCCACTTATCTTTCCCAACTCAGACCTTAAAAATGATATGAACCCTCAAATAAAAATATCCAATACCTAATATCATAATCAAAATGTCCAGATGACATGACCATCTGAAGAAGTCTTGATTTATTTATTACTTAATTATTTTATGGCATTAAATGGAATTAATGAGCAATACAAAGCAATACAGCACTATATAGAGCAATACACTAGAGGACACAACTCCAGACGCAAGTAAACACAGGAAACGGGCATTTCAAAGAAAGTAAGGTGATACAAAAATAATATATATTACTAGCATACAGTTTAACTCTTCTTGAGTTTTAAAATGGTAGATGACCCAACTATTCATAAACAAATTGTAATGAGTTGGAACAACGGTTCTTATTATCTATAGTCTGTGCCATTAACTTTTCAGCTTACTGGACTTGTCGACCACTTTTCTTCGTAGATCTGAATAAAAATTTCAATAAGACGGGGCATTTTCTCCAACTGCATTGATAATTTTGTCATACAATTTTTTTAGAATCATCATATACCAGCGACATTTCAGAAAAAAAATGAAATCAAACCAAAAGTTCTTGATAACATATAGAAAAGCCTAAGTGCCATGTCAGACCGCTAAATTTACATATTCTAAAAAAAAATCTGCTGTTCCAAACAAATTTTACTGGTTGCAGGTGTAGAACCAGTGGCTCATGTGGCAGACTGTAAATAGCAATATGTTTTGCCTTTATATCACAATGTTTTATTGCAAATAACAGTTCCCTGTGTCCGGAGTAATTTTCTATAGTGCACTGCACTGTAATGTGCAATTTTTAGTATGACAGCTCTGTATCTTATCAAAAACAGCAAATTTTACCTGAATTCTGGTGTATCTATTTTCATAGTCTTGAGTTTCCCTTTTTTCTTGAAGTTAGACAGCTGTGAATATGATGCAATTCTTGACCAACTTTTGAAAATCTGTGTTGTTCTTGGAAATAGTCTCGACACACCTGTGGCAGTCCAAAACATATCCTGAACGATGAAACCTGTAATTATACTGTGCATGTACATCAGTTTAAATACTATGTCTATGATGAAAAAATGCGACTTACAGAGAGTACTTCATAGCCTAATTCTGAAATTTCTCTCATCTAGAGGCGATGACACTGTCATCAATCCTGATCATCCTTAATGCTCAAGAACTTGAGAAGTTCCAATGTTTAACTTGACTTAAACTGTCGAGTGGAGAGCAGAGAAAACGATTTTGTATTTAACTCATTTGTATCTCAAGTATTTTGCTGTATACACGTTCTTCAACAAATGTCAAGTACCTACAAGGGGATGATGCAACATATCACATCCTACCTTATACAATACAGTCCCTTCAACTAACCGAGATTGCCCAACGAGTGTTCATCAAGGGCGCAGCCATTTTCTGCTGCCCCGCAGTAAATAAGAAGTTAAGCAATAACGATGCGCGCGTTATGCGTCACAGGTCTTGCATAACTACCCACGTGCTACGATTTTTCCCTTGGGGGGCAACAAGCGGCCATTTTGTACAGGAGCAATGCATAGATGGGTGAAAACGATACGTTGTTTTTAACCGAAAACGATGTCCCCGGGATGAAACTGCCAACACCAAAAGTAAAGGAGAATACCAACGTTGTTTTGAAGCGATGTGGTTAGCCTGTCAGTGGCGAGTTGGGGAGAAAAGAGCAGCACTGATTGCAAGGTACATGTACTGTTTACACGTGAACCGGCAAAGTTAATGATAATTTCATGTTGCAAAAGCAAAATTAAATCAGTTAGTTATTTTCCAAACGATATTATTTGAATAGCAGATACATAGATCAAACTAACAACAATAAAATTTTTGATGACATTGATTGAAACCTGCGGTGCACGATAGGTTGAGGAGGACACTGCCACAGCAAGTAATTAATGCATGAATTTTGTTACATAACACCGTATGCTTGTGTCATTGTTAACTCTGCGGTATTATTACTCAATTTACTGCTTAAATTAATACCTGATACTATTTCTCAGGCTACCAAGTACAAATCACCTTATTTTGTGGCAGTTGACCTCCATGTTCCATCTTGTGTGCAGGTTGTTTATTATTATTTTCATTATTATTATTATTATTTGTTCAAGCACATTTTGATAAAGTGGCTATGCTTTAACAAGAGAAATTTATGCTAATTTTAAAAGATTAAATCATCAGTAGTATATACAATTAAAGCTATTTGATTATGCATTATTTGATTTTCAATTATCTTGATTATGATATGAGGTTTCTGCCTTTTTCTCTTGCCCTCAAATCAATATTTAACAAGTAAATTGATAGTGCTTTATTACAATTTTTGCTTTATACTTTCAGATGTAAAAACTGTGTAGCAGTTGGTCAAGCTGTAGAGATTGATGTGAGCATAGATCAGGGGAAATGGTATTAGAGAAACCAGGAGGACAAGACATAGATAATGTACTAGTAGATCCATCATCAAAGCAAGGATAGATGGTGTGATCTTGTCCCTGAAGCTGTGCCTCAAGTTTTCAACAGGTTGAGTCCTTACTAAGACAAGCTGCTGCAGTGTGAATTGCAATATGTACATTCAGGTTATACGTGGCAGATTTATGACAAAAGAGACCTTCACAATATACTTCAAAGGAGTTATTCTTGCATCTATGCCTCATCAAAAGTACACAGTTACAGTGACTAGAACATTGTTTGCAAATAGTGAAGCAGTGAAGGCTGCAAGGTGCCATTGTTTTTCAGTATTAAGAATGACAGTATCTGTTTTTTTTATTTATTTTTATTTTTCATTTTTAATGGGAGGGAGACTCATTTTGTTCTTTCTATGCCCATTCAGTTAAGGGTTGGTGGCAATATATGGTAAATCTGTCATGCCTGTATGTAGAATTTCTCTGGCTCAAATTTCTACATTTATTGGGTGCATTATGAGGTTGCCTGACTGATTAATGAGGTTACTTGTAGAAATATCTTGCTTACACATTTCTTGTGATTTTTTTACTGCTATATACAGATGATTATTCACATCTAAACAGTGGTGTGTAAAAGGAACATGTGCTTGGTATTTGCATTTTAGAACTGTAGATCTGTGTACCAGCAGGGTTATATTTCATACTAGTATATCTGCGAATGTTTCTAAAAATAAGCTTCATGTTTGATAATTAATTGGTTTGAAATAAATAACCCAAATAAAATCAATTCATTTTATATTTCACATAATCTGTTTTTATTATTCTCCTAAGCATTTAATCATAACATCTCCCATCATTATACTGTTATTGTGCAATAACATTGAAAGTTTCCAAGTTTTTATGTATTATAAATGAATTTAAGCATATTTCCTTACTCAAATGTATCAAACGTACCACTGGCATAATACCGGTAAAGATACAGGTAAAGATGACACCATTGATAACTGGGTTTACAGCGCTGTTAGTGCAGAATGGTTAGTGTCAGATTGTTATCTGATAAAGTTTGCTACTTGTACCTGGGAGCAAAAGGTCTGGCACTTGACAATCAAGTTGATAAAATCACAAAACGCCTGTAGAAAATAGAGCATACCTGCCCAACATTGATTTGTTCAGATTCTTGACTAAGGGGTGCGTTACTGGTGTCAAGGGCCAAGACTGGAACTTAGGGGTTTGGCATGTCACTGGACATTCCCCTCGATTTCTGCCCAAATCTAATAAAGCCTCAGTTGCTTAGCTTTAACCAAATTTCCAATACCTACAGGTTGTGTTGTTTAATGCTTGGGGTCTCTTCTCTGGCGGCGGTTAATTGGGGACACCTGTGTGGCCTGTCAACGCACCTACATTGTAGATTCACTTTTGCCGGTGCCATATTTTCCATTGCCGTAAATATCAAATTCGTGAATAGAATGAGGAAAAAATGACAATTATGAAAAAATGTTTTTTGGAAGTACCTGTCACCTTCGCCACAGTAACCATGTGGGCTGTGTTGCCCCCCCGCCACAGGCGACACCTTGCGGAGCAAGCGTGCGTAATCCAGGGTGCAACTGAAAATAACCTTGGCGCGCGACCTTATTGTTTTGTCTTAATTTTGATAAAATACAACTTTGCGCACCATTGAGCATCGCTGTCTTACATATAATCCTCTAATCATTATAAGCACTGACAAAAAAGAATCCCCTAACTCTAATAAGAAAGTGCTCTGCGGGATACTTTTTTTTTCTATCCCGCAGAGCACTATCCCACGCTTGGGCTAGACGGCCCCGACTAACCAGAGCTCTGATAAAGCTGCCTCCAGTGTATCCCACGCTAAGCTGTCGCCCAGTGGATGTCCCCTTACAAAGCTTTCTGGGGTGGGACTTATTGAAAGTGAATTCACATCGTTTAGAATGGGTAAAAACACTAAAGTACAATATGATAGTTTAAGTGGCAAAAAGGCATGGATTTAGTGGTCTGATTGCAGCACACCACTGTTATCCATATGTCTCTTAACCCTTTTGAAGTACATTAATTTTATGTTTGATAAAAGGAAAAGTATTGATTGGCAAAACATCTTGGTAAATTGTGAAGAATTATCCATATCAATGTATTAGTAATTTAATTAAAGAAGTAAAAGGTCCTAATCAACTTATCAAGTTAATATGTATTAACTATGTGTGCTAGTACGTGTTGGATACTGGGGTGATAGCAGATATCTCAATTTATTCTCATTATATTTATTTCCAGATAAAAACTGAAGACATCCACCATGCAGGCACAACCCATGAAGTTCCTGATAGCTGTGATGGTAGTCACTTTAGCTCAGGGTGGGAAAATCTTGATCAAACCATTTGGACAGTGTTGGGGATCCCACCTCTTAAACCTTGAGTTTCTAGCAGGATTCCTTGTTGACAAAGGACACGAGGTTTATTTCATAGCACCAAGCAGATATGCTGGACCATATAACCCTTATGCCAAGAACTTTAAAAATAAAGTCCATTTGATCAAATACACCACTCCAGAATTCGAGATGGAACATTCATTCCAATCTTGTGATACATCTGATTCTATTGACAATATCAGGAAAGAGAGCCCTACAAAGCAGCTTCATTATAGAATGTCACACGAGTTTAGCCACTGTAAGGCATTATTCATGTCAACTGGCTCTTTGAAACGCATCAAGAATCTAAAAGCCGACTTGGTTATAACAGACAGTCTGGCAGTGTGTGGGAGTATTTTAGCTACCTATCTTGATATTCCATATGTGACTGTTGATATGGTGCCAGGTAGTCACAGGTCTGTTTGGGATTTGCCTCACACCCCATACCTACCCAGTGTTGATATGCCATTCAGTGATCAAATGACATTGATGGAAAGAGTGCAGAACTCGGTCTCCCAATATTTTCTTCAACCCATTCAAAACTATATTTTCAGAGGCTACTTTTTAAATCCGTTTAGGGAATTGTTGGAGTACTGTAATCTTACTGATGTAACTTTAACAGATCTTGTTAACCATGGAGCTGCCTATAGAATTTACAACACCGATTTTTCAATAGAGTATCCAAGCCCATTGCTTCCAAATATGGCTTTCATTGGTGGATTTTTTAATACTGGATCTAGACCTTTAGAAAAAGAGGTGACTTTGTTTCTTCAAGATGTTGAGGAAAAGGAGGGCTTGGTCATTGTGAGCATGGGATCTCGAACCCGCTATGACATCCAGTGGGGTAATCTATTCGCTAAAGCTTTAGCACAGTTACCATGTAAAGTCATATGGAGACACATACCTGACACAAATGATCTCGATGATTTCCCAAGTGAACATGGTAAAAATACAATGATTGTGAAGTGGCTTCCTCAAAGAGAATTGCTCTCAAATCCTAAAACTAAACTGTTCGTAACTCATGCAGGAGCAGGGTCTATGTTTGAAGCAGTATATCATGGTCTTGACCATTCCTTTAATTGCTGACCAGCCCCATCAGGCCAAGAAGTTGACTGACCGCTTGAAAATGGGGACATATCTGGAAGTGTCAACACTGACAGCTGACAGCCTGCACTCAGAATTATTGACAGTACTGAATAATACTTTGTATGCAGAAAATGCAAAGAAAGCATCTAAGATTTTTAGACTTAGTTTAGAAGGTCACGGACAGAAAATACTATCCGTTATAAACTCTGCTATTGCAGCCAAAGGAGCTATGCATTTACAGTCTAAACTAAACCATATGTCTTGGTATCAATATTATTCTGTTGATGTGATACTGGTAGTTGTGATATGTTTGATGCTTTTACCTATGCCTCTTTATATCTGTAGTAGATTTTTCTCTAACATGACAGTCAGAGATAAAATGAAAGTGGCAAGCAAAAATGATTGACCTATATTTTAGTTAGCAAGTGAAACAGAATAGTGCAAGTAATGCATTTAAATCATGGCATATTTATTTGAATATTCCAGTTTCTGCTATAGTATGGATAGCTTGTACTTTTGGGATGTTTTTAATCTTGGATTTTCACAGGTGAATGCTTCTCTATACAATTTATGTAAGATGCTAGAAAGAAAAGATGTAAATGTATTTTTCTATGTGTCAAACCCCCACAAATGGCAAAACCTTTTGTCACTCTTATGCTCGATGTCGACTTTTTTGCAGTTATATAAGAATATTATATAAGTAATAGGTAGCTTGCTTCACCATCATGAATAACAAATTACATGAAGATTTCGTTTAAATAGTTCCTTAATCTTACATCAGTTCGAATCATTATTCCCCCTTCGTCTAACCCCACAATGGGAATACGTCAATTTCTACATTGGAAAAATTATTAAACCCTTGTTTAAAGGGACACTGCTCTGTTGCAAAACGTTGAATATATATTATAAAAGAAACAACAGCAATTCATATTTAAATAAATCTAGAACCGATAACAAACAAGTTTGTATATTTGTCTAAAATTTAATGGGACAAACACTGTTCATTTTGGCAAAAATGAATTTCCTGGGGTAGACAATTTTCCCATACTTACAAATGGTTAATGAATCCATTTCTAAATTCAAAGTTAGTCCCTGTTTTTTTTTCTAGAAAGTTTTTTTTTTGTAATAATCTCTTAAGAGATTGTTAGAGTAGAGCCATCTACGAGGTCACATGGTCCGATGGCAAGTACAGATTTCAGAATAATTGCTTCAACTGCCATTTTTGTGGTAAAATAGAATATATTTTTATGGGTTGTTTACAATGTTTTTATTGTAAAATATATTTCTCATACGAAGAGTTGTTATCCCTTTAATATGACAACCCACCTTGGTAGTGTTTGCTGGGTCCACTTCAACAACAACAACAACAACAAAAAAAAATTATATACTGTAACTTGGGTTAAAATGGGGGGATGTTCAAAAAGATACCTACACTAATCAATGATAGACTGGTGAGGACATTAATACAAAGCAAGAAAAGTTTATGTCTACATTTAACTAGAATCTTGATAAGCATGTCAGAAGTCTATTCTAAGCTCAATGAAAAAGTCTCTAAAAACTCGAAAGCACTTTAAGATACCGATCAACCTATTCATAGAATCCAATTAACTGGAATAGAAGCATGTATCTTTGACGTTTGTAATTGTTACTTTAAAAAAACCCATGTAAAATCTAAACAGTTCATAGAGAAAAGTAATCCGTATGTCCCTACACATTTCTAGGCCCATGCCATCACCACTTAGAACAAGAATTTTTGCAAATTTTAACATTAAATCATTACTGTTGTCTGACATTGGTATCACTATATGTCTGAGGAGGACCAGCCAAAAATAATTCACTAATATCATGATCTTGCAAAGAGGAAAAAAAAAAGAGGCCGATCACTATATAAACAGGCAAACTCAAATGTCACCTGCACCTCAAAACTGTCCTATACATCCCATAAGACTTTTTCTAGGTGTCAAATATTGCATGTAAACTAGAGGTAACAAATCACTGTTGCCACAAAACTGTCCTATACATCTAATACCACTTTTTTAGGTGTCAAATATTCCATGTAAACTAGAAGTAACAAATCACTGTTGCCTCAAAACTGTCCTATATATCTAATACAACTTTTTCTAGGTTTCAAACATTCCATGTAAACAAGAGCTGACAAATCACTGTATCACAAAACTCCTATACATCTGATAGGACTTTTTTCTAGGTGTCAAATATTCCATGTAAACAAGAGGTAACAAATCCCTGTTGCCATGGTTCACAGTTACAATGGTATACAAAGCCCTTTAGTCAAACCAAAATGCACAGTCACTATCGACGATTAGTTTTTCCAACCAAATCAACCTGTCCCTTTTTTCTGTGGTCCAAGCCTGCCATCATGTTGACAAGACAGTCCTTTCCTTTTCCAAATGACATTTAAGCAGTGTCACTGTTCCATGTCTTCATGTCTGTCACCATGGCGTTAAACAGGTCTATCAGGTGGTTTGGAGAGCTACTGTTTAGGTCTGTCTCCGTACATCCTGGACAACGGAATCCACTTGGCCCTGAGAAGTAACATCTCTTGCACTTCTGATTGAGAAAAAAATGTTATGAAATTAAAGCACTATGTGCCTTAACCTTTTCAACCGACTTGTCATTTTGTTGTCCAATATAAGATGGATGCATAAGCATAGCAGGAGTATAAAATAGCATTAGCTAGATGTTCACACACACAAATGCCACTTCCTGAGCTTTCAATACTCTTTACCACCAGTACAATATGTTTTCATGATGCTGCTGTAAAATATTAATTCAAATATCATTAAAAGCGCTGTTAGTTAATTTGGCAGGAAAATGCCAAAAATCCTTCCTTAATTTGTCATTATGTAATTTTGTACTGTCTACCTGACAATGCACATCTCCAGTTCTCCTGCAGTACTTGCATTCAACACAATGATTCCTGGGGCTGTCTACTTCACTGCACAACTCACCTGAAGACAAATCAAGTAATGATACTGCACAGTTTGTGTCTGCTTTCTACTTGAAAATGTAACTCTTTAATTATCTTAAATAAATTGCAAGTAAACAATACCGTTTATGTGCATAAAAAGTAAATAACAGTTCCAGTATGTTCAGAAGGAATGGTTATGCAAATGATATGTTGTCAGGCATGTGCCTTATAATGGTCATTTGAATATTGAAAAAATCTTTATTCGAAAGGGAAAACTATCTCCTCTGTATCAATTTTTAAGTTTGAACCCGAATTCATCTGTGCCAACTGCTGTACAACTATACTTGTCTTCATTATGGATGGAGCAAAGGGATGAAATTGAACTAGCCATTTTCACTAATCCTTTAACTATCAATATCCATATTTTATATATTTGTGATCAATCATAATGTATTACCTATACACCAAGAGTACTTGTATGCCTGTTTGCAAGCAGGATAGTTGGGACACAGCACTGTGGAGGGGATACAGTACTTCAGCTTGGCACTACATCCACAGCAGGGGAAATGTATGTTACACTCCAGATACTGGGGAAGGTTCTGAATCTGGTGACAAAATGGCAATGGATCAGTTTGCAAAACTGGTTATATTAACACAACTGAAGGAAAAGCTGAGCTACTGGATGTAAGGTTTCAAGGACAAAGATGCATCTGAGAGGTTAACAAGAGTTGAAATTTCATCTAGTGTAATGAAAATCTATTTTAATTTTATCAAAAATATATCATCAGCGTTTCAATTACATCACAGAAACATCCGCTAGTTTTCCTAATAGGATGTGAAGAGGTGAAGTCATAGGACAAAAAGGTTTATATTAATTATGCTTTCAAATAAAATCTAATTAAACTTTGATAGAATTTAATAAGCTCTATGAAATATGATCTTCATTAAATTCATTTTTTTAAAAACTTAAAACACACAAACACCTGTTGGAGCATCATATAATCATTTACACTGATCACCCACCTTGGTCAGATTTTGAAATAAACAAGGGTCATCTTGTATTTCTTGCAGTCCAATGCCAACTTGAGTGAGGATATTCAAAGGGTTTGTGCACCCAATACACTGGCAATCACTGCATTTCTTTCCCAAAGACAAGCATCCACATGACAGGGTGGAGCAAATGCCTCCCTCTGCACCAGACACAGTGCATTCACATCTGGCACTGCCTTCTAACTGTGATGTAAGCATGACTGGGGTCTTTGTTGGTTCTTCAATAGGATCTGAAAGGAGAACATGCTTTTGGTTTCCTCATATGACAATATTTGAGTAAAATTCCTTTGAAGTGTCAAATGATGTCATTCTTCAGGTACTGAGTACGTGTGTATTATCATTAGAACTTCTCTCTAAAGCATTAGAAATTAACATTTGGCAAATCAACAGAATTACAGCCATTATTTGAGACAAAATTAATTAACTTAAAAATCTAATGTATATTCACTTTGGTAAGTTAAGAGGTATTACAAAACCAGTGGAAAATGAAAGAGAATATAAGAAGAAAAATAACATGAACAACAGGAACCTACTAGAAAAATCTATGCCAGGATAAATGTTATTTCCTTCCCCAAACCCTGAAACAACTGGCAGAGTTTTGCCAGTGAGCTCAATGAATGGCTTCTTAAACAATCCATCTAGTCTCTCATCAAAACCAGACAAATATTTCTTGAAGTTTAAAGCCGTGTTCATCTTCAAAGTTATCTGTAAGATATGGCAATGTGAACAAAGATAAGAATTTATATTAAATCACATTAAAGAGAACACCTACTGTTTGTTGAGAAGTTCAAAGTAAAGCAGAAGTGAAGTCTTTACTTCCTTCTGTTTACATATATATCTTTAGATAATTCCAATGTACTTGATAAGTAGCTGGACCACCTTGCTGCTTATTTGCGAAATGATCCCTGCAAATCAGTCCCCAGTGGCAGTACTTTTCAAACTTTAATAATAATTTTTACTCATTTTTTTTCTGCAATTACATAATAATCTTACCTTGTGGTATGGACAGGTCTTAAACTGACCCCCAGTGACATCACAGTGGTCATTTATATGCCTGGTATGAAAGAAAGGTTGGTAGGAGCTTCCCTCGGTTACCAGCTTGTAACCAGGAAAAATATACGGAGCTCTGTTCACTTCCACCTGGATGGTACTGAAGTGGGCATGAAGACCAACTATGGTGCTGAATGGAACTTCTATATTAACCAGAAGTTTCACATTCCTGTTATGTGGGAAGGTGCCCGTTTCAAACTGGTAAACCAGCTTCCTAAAGTGGAGAGATAATATTATAAAAGCCAATGTCCTGATATGGCACTGCATAGACAGGCATACTGAAATATGAACATATATTGGATTGAATATATATAACTTCCAAATATAAAATAAAATAGCTCTATCCAGTGGAAATACAATGGCAATAACATAAAAGATGATAATAATAACAATGAAACTGTAGATGAAAAGTTTTGAAAATCCGGACAAACGAGGCATTTAGTATATCATAAAAGCAGCCTAAAAGCAACTGCAAACCTCAATAAAATGCAATTCTTAACAGATTATCAGTAACACCAAATACACTCAAGAGCTTTACTAAAAGCAGCTGGTATCAACAAATAATAATTTTGTTAGTATTAATAGATGGTGGTATTAGGAATCACATGGTAATAATTGCATGCAATAGCAAATTAAGCTACATGAATATTTCTCTATCAGATGATTTCTTAAGAATCTCATTTACATATTACCTGACGTTTGTAGGTGGTTTCGCATTTATAATATTGACAATATAGGTAACAATAAAATCATTCAAAATGGCTTTAAATACCCCCCCCCCCCAAACAAAAAGCATATCCCAATTGAGTGAAACATGCAGATGTTAATTAGAAAATGCAATGTTGAACTGTTACTTTACACAAAAAGGAGACCTTTAAAATAAAAATAACAAGCATTTGGCTTAAAAGAACAAATTGATTCATATAAAAATCCCAAAACAAATCAGAATGTGAACAATCTAGTTTGTGAGCATAAACTATAATACACAGATCTCCCCATCGAAGCAGCCAGGTTTTGTCCACACCCATGGTCACAACTTTAAACTTTCTTATGTTCAT